GCTGGAGGACGGGCGCGAGGCGTCGGGCCGCGGCGCCGCTCCCGCCCGAGGCAGCTCCTGCGGGGAAGGTCCGGCTGGCCGGGACGCCACACGGCACGGCTCCCGCCAGCCACCCCGGCCTCAGGGGCTCGGCGAGCATCGCCCCTCCGCAGGGCCCCGCTCTTCGGGAGCCCTGCCACTCTCTGCACGGCTCCGCAGCGTGTCACCACCTGAGACCACCACCCACGTTTCCACAGCTGGCAGGACATAACCCCCACACACACCCCCGTGGCTGGACCACTGCAGGGGACCAGCCTGGCCCTTGACACCCAGGTCTGCAGGGCAGCTCACACCCCGGGAGCAGGATCTTTGTCCCCGGAGCCGTGCCCCGCTCCCGCACAGGGGGCAGGGGCTGAGAGAGTGAGGCAGCCCCTCGAGCACAGCTCCATCGCAGCAGGGTCTGTGGTCCCGGAGGGTCGTGCTCACTCACCGGAGCTGGGGTCCCGCAGCAACAGCAGGAGCAGCATCCCAAAGCTAGGAAGGGAAGCAGCCATTCCTGCGTCCTGTGGCCAGTGGGAGTGAGGGAGAGGGATAGATGGACGAGGCCCCACAGGGCCCGCGCTGGCAGCTGCCGCAGGGCTGTCCACGTAGCCTGGCACCAGCGCCTGCCACTCTCACACCCTCTGTGGCTCCCAACCTTCCTCCAACAGAGGCAGCCCCAAAGACGTCCTGTCCCACGGACCGCTGAGATGGAGCTGTGCCCCTGCCCCTGCCGCAGCCCCAGCCTCAGCCCCTGCCCCAGCCCGCTCACGCCGCTCCTGCCGCCGGGGCTGGAGGCTCCTGGCGCGGCGGGGCTGACTCTCGCAGGCCTCGGCTCGGGGCTGTAACCCGAAGCCGCCGCCGGTCCCGCCGCCGCAGAGGGTGCCGAGCTCCTGCATTATTGATGTCGGGAACCCGGCGGGGGCGGGGGCAGCCGGGCTGCGGGACCCCGCCCGGCCCGCGGGCAGCCCGGCTGGCTCGGCCGGCTGCGGGAGCGGCTCCCGCGCTGGGTCTCCCCGGGGCAAAGGCGGCGGGCCCCCCGCGGCCGACCGGAGC